CTTGGCTGAGTTATCGTGGGGGTCCATTATCCTCTAGGCTTTTAAATTTGGCTTCCGTTGGCGGCGTATGCCAAAGGAGCAAACAGGGTCTGAGGATACGTCGTGCTTACATATTACTGACAAAACTCCCGTGTCAGCGGGTCCCAAGAGACAACCGAGTGTGACGGTTGATTTCAAGACATTCTCGAAGGAGTATTCCGAAAAGTGGAAGGTTGGTTTCTTTGTTTTTCTGATGGCCTCAGAATCTCAGCTTGCCTAGACAGGACACTACCGAACCGAAACCGAAGCGTGTCCAATTAGAGATGAAAAACTATCAATCGAAAGGTGACGATGGTCGTTCAAAGAAGAGGAAGCGGGATCCGGATGCTCCCAAAAAGGCTTTGTCCGCCTTCTTCCTGTTTTGTCAGGATGAGCGTCCAAAAGTTCGCTCAGAACATCCCGACTGGAAGGTGAGTGAGATCGCAAAGGAACTTGGCAAGCGGTGGGAACATTGCAAAAACAAGTCAAAGTACGAGAGTCAAGCCCAAGTTGAGAAGCAGCGTTACGAAAAGGTATGTGTACTTTGTGAGTGTTGAAATTTGTCCTTAGGCTATGGCTAAGTACAAGGCTGGCAAGAAAGCGAAGACGTCTGACTAGAGGCTCTACTCGGACAGCCAGACGCTGCTCAGCTATCCTTGGTTTACTCAGAGGAACGTGTTATTTTCTATCGTTCATAAGATGTCCAAACTTTTAGTCCTCTGACAGGCCGTGGGCCGTCCTGCATTTTGTTCATCGATGGCTACTGTAATTCCTTTTCTATGAAATACATTGTTTTATACCATCGTTCATAAAAGGCTTTATATGGTTCTCGATTGCCACAGGATAGTTCTCGCCAATCATGCTCCTTTGTGCTAAGTGAATGCATCGCTAGGTTTGTCGTGTATCATCGGATGGTGCATGTTTATAGCGAAGGCCAGGTTTCCACGGCGGTCTCGGGTTCGCACTTCGTGCAGTTTATGTCGGCGATATGTTGCGAGCCTAACATAGCAACTTAACGATAATGTTTCTCTTTCCATCGCATCTAGTTTATTGAAGCTTTCAACTTATGCTGAAGTTGCTTCAGTCGATAGTTGTCGTACTCTTAGCATTCGGTAGATTTGTGAACTGACAGCCGGTTCACAATGGTCGATGAGTGTAGATGGTCTCTGTCCGCAACTGTACAACATGGTGAAATCACCATGGATGTTGAGACTTTGAGCGAGCCTGGATCTTTACGGCTGCCAGACTGCGCCTTGATCGTTCATGCGTGAACAGGTTGGTTTTTCCATCGGATGTGTGCGTCTCGTTGGTACATAGTGCGCAATCGGTGTTTCATGGTTGATAATCCACCCCGATATTGGTCACCTCTCGCCTGTGATTTACTGTAAGATTCTGTGGGGTCTCTTTTGAGCGATTTAAGAAAAAATGAGTGCGTGAAACACTCGATCGTCTGGAGTCAATGTACCAAATGGTCATTCAATATTTGGTGGACCTAGATGCACCGGTGATGTTGATGGCTCTCGCTGGAATGCGTTCTCACTCCGCGTGTCAGTTTTGTATCCGTGGGGTCGCATGTTCATTGACAACGTTGAGCGTCGTGCTCATTCATGTGATTCGCTTGTTTTAGCCATGGCAAACAAAATCCAAAACACGGATCGAAACGTTCTCACAAAATGCCCTTGTTTTGGTTCTACTCAAAGTGATTTCTGATCCGTTAGCGAATAAGTGACTGAACGTTTCACCGGCATCAACACAGTGGTAAGTGACCACGCGTTACCAGGGTCAAAGGGTTTTATTTCGTGTCAAGTGGTGCTTTGCTGGACGATCATGTTTCACGACTGATACATTCATTGTTTGTGGAGGATGACCACTGGTTCTAGTTGAGTGTTAAACTGACTCCCCGAAGGAATGTGTACGCATGGACCAGGTGAGGCATATTTTACTCGCTCTCCTTGACAGATTAGACTGATGGCAGAGTTGACTTTGCTTTTCCTTGAATGGGCCCTGTTTTCGCCCATATATTGCTTCGAGCATGTACGTACTGGTGTTCCTTATTTATGTTTCTGATCATTTCGGGCTCGGCAATTCGCGTTCATTCTGTGGCTTTGGTGGAAAGGCACACGGCGGCAAGTCTTGTTTGACATGCGATTTGTCTTCCGTCTCCAAACTGGTGATCTAGCGCTAGTACCTTGTAGTATATCCTAGTTAGTTATGAAACTAGGTGTCATCAACTGCCTTCAGTTGTATCGGTATTGAGCAAATTTGCACCAATTAGCCTAGATTGTTTCAAGATCATATGCATAGCATCGGCAGCCCTCTGCGATGTGTTTTAGCTGGCTCCCTCCTATCCAATCTTCGTGCGAAACGTACGCACGGTAACTCATGGTTTGGCTGTTTTCTTCTGAGCACTATCGTCCGTATGATGACTTCACAAAATTCCTCGTGTCGGATGCTCTAGGTTTTAAAGTCTTCTGCGTGTACAGATCGTGTTGTTCATTTTTGTTTTAAGCCAGAGGCATTGCGCAATGCTAATGAAGTTTGCAGCTTTTAACATTTCATGTTTCCGACGTGACGTCACCCCGTACATTGTTTCTTTGTCATGGCTTCCTTTCATCGGTTGGGAGCTAAAGCACTCCGGCTCCGTTTTCTCCTCACATTCAATGGATCCTGCAAGAGTAGTTAATCTCGTGGCTGCCTCAGTGTTTATTTGGAATTTCATTCTGAAGTGATGCACGTTTCTAGTCAGTGAGGCTAGTGCGCACTGATCCTTTTCGCTTCCCTCAGCGATGGGAATACATGGTTGATGTAACACAGCTACCACGCCGGATGCTTACCCATGAGGTGAGTCCGAAATCGTGGATATCAACGGAAAGAAATAGACGATTCCCGGTTAGGATAGAAACATTTCTTCGCCGCAATTGGTTGTGTACGTTACTGTTTGGTTTTGAAGATAGGACATGCGCACCATTTGTCGTAGTATCTAGTCAACGACAGCTTTTCGGGTCTCAGATAGAAAACTAAGTCCGAATACGGTTCCTCCAACACTGCGCCACGTTTTAACTCACCCACGTGTTTTCCTTCCGAGCTAGCACTAATCGCGAATATCGCACTAGTACAATCGTGAAGTGGCACAGCACGTACCTGCACGCTAAACTTCTGACTTTTCTGTGATGGGGTTGTCTAACTAGCACTGAGGATGTTACCTTCATCATCGTAAGCTTATTTATCAGACCGTTTCCAAATTTACAGTGCTTATTAGGTTCGTCAGAAGGTGTAAGGTGAAAAGGGATTGGACCTATTTTCAGGGAAGGGGATGGAAGCGAACCTCTGGTCAACACAATGCACAATCCAAATGTACCTACCCACCTTTTCAAGCCTACTGGCCGATAAGAAATGATAACAACGGCATTGCTGTCGGTTCGCTGCCTATTCTTCAATGTCTTCAACCGACATGGAATGCGCGAGACACCAGCTCTACCTACTACCCCTGCATTTTTTTCATGCCTTATCTCCACGACATGTTGACCTCCGCGGGGCTTCTAGCCTGGGGCGGGTACAGCAACGAGACTGCACCTTGACGTGGTGTGATGGCTTGTGCACCCCTTACCCAACGAGCTACACAGGATGGCGTTTGTCAAGTCGCAGATCTAATCGTGCCTGGAAGGCCAATGGGTAGAGGTCAGACAAAGTCCAGTCTCCTGATCCTCCAGGTTGATTCCTCGACTCGAGTTAGCGTCTCAGTCAGTAAAATTGTAGTAAGTAAATAGGCCTTTACTTCGCTTTACCCGTTGCCCTAATCGTTCTCCTGCTTAGTGGCTGAACACCCTAGCAGTACCCGTCCATCAAACTCAAATGTATACACAACCGAAAAATAATCCGATGCTGCATCGGTCGTCGCGCAGGATAATCGGGACCGCGCTGCCCATTGCATCGAGCGGGGTGGGTGGTGATAAGTGGGCTACTGCTCAGGTATACCAACCTTTCATTAACTCTTTGTCTTCCGTACCTAACCCTATCCCTTTACCCTTTCTTCCAACCCGTAACATTCCCTGTTCGTCGCCTGCCAAATTTCGGCGCCAAGTAGCTCGGTAGGCAGTTTACCACAAAATAGGTTGCAGATTCTGAAGCCTCGTCAGCCACTGAATCTGGGGGCCTTCAACGTAAGGACTTTGCTGCAGGTAGGTCAACAAGCATGTCTGGCGCGTACAATGGACTCTTTTGGAATGGATGTCTGCTGCGTGTCGGAGACTCGAATTCAGGATCCCAATACTGTATGCCACTGAAGTGCACCGGGGTTGTCTCCGAGGTTCTCCCTTCCCACATCAGGTGATGGCGAAGCCCGTTCAGTAGGCCAGCGTGGTGTGGGCATTGTGCTGAATAATGCAGCCGAAGCCGCACTACTGGATTGGATCCCCGTCAACAGCCGCTTATGTGCGATGCAACTCCAAGGGTCTATCAACGTCCGGAAGGGAAGTAACAACAAAAGGTGTTTATTCGTTATTTTAGCCTATGCTCCGACCAACTGCAGTTCTGACGCACAAAAGGGCGGGCTTAATGATAAACTCACCGGACTCATTCGGTTGAGTCGAAACTCCGATATAGTTATTCTCGCAGGTGATTCTAACGCTCAAGTTGGAAAACTGAGCTCATCGAAGCTTGTCTAGGCGGTCATTGTGCTCTGTCCTGCCAGCGAACAGATAATGGCGATCGACTTCAGTTCTGCGCAGATCATCATCTGTTCCTATCCAGCACCAACTTCCGACAGCTCTCAACGGACAGCAAAGTGGCGCTCAAATTCAACTGGCACGCTAACTCAAATCGACCACATAGCAGGACGTTACCCTTGGCGTGGCTCAGTGCAAAACTGCAGGTCCTATTTGACCACCTGCGTTGAATCTGATCATGCGTTAGTTTTGATGCAGTTCACTCTCCGACTCACTGATCGCAGAAAATTCCACCAAACTCGATTGGCAGATTATCGCTTATCTGACCCAGCCGTTCGTGCCCGTTTTGGATCAGAACTGGGGCAAGAGCTAAACGCACTGCGGGGTGGTAGTGTAAATGAACGACTGGATCAGATTAGCCGAACGAAGTACCCCGCAGCGAACGTTGCTTGTGGATCTGAAGCAGTAGCCCGCCCGAGGCATTGGATATCTGATGAGTCAGTAGCACTGATGGAGAAAAAGCGGCGAATCCCCACCGCCCGCGATCAAGGCAGGGTTAGGAGGCGNTCACTTCAAGAAAGACCGTGAGAACTGGTGGGCAACGATAGCTAGTGAAATGGAAGTTGCGGCTGCATCAGAGACTGTTTCAACTGATACGCAATACGGGAGGTCGGCGAACAGCAGTTAGTGAAACAATCTGCGACAAAAGTGGGCAAGCCATTCACAATAGGGAACAACGACTTGACCGATGGGCGGAGTACTTCACCGAACAGTTCAGTTGTCCAGGCGCTAACCAGGCTATCTCCTCCGATGTAGCTGAGGCTCCATGGGCAGTGTCATCTGAACCCCCTACTGCAGGAGAAGTTCGTTCTTGCATCCTAGCCCTGAGAGAAGGAAAAGCATCAGGGCCGGACGGGCTTTCTCCCACTCTTTTCAATTTCGACCAGGTCGCGG